GCCTATACAAGTCACAATATTACATTTATATAGGCCTATGTTTACTATTAATATTAATAGGACCACACTATATGTAAGAATTACCTATAAAGTCACAATATTACACTTATATATGCCTATGTTTAATATTAATAGGACCACACTATATGTAACAATTACCTATAAAGTCACAATATTACATTGATATAGGCCTATGTTTAGTATTAATAGGACCACACTATATATAACAATTATCTATGAAGTCACAATATTACACGTATATAGACCTATGTTTAATATTAATAGGACAGCACTGGATATAATTAGACAATTACACGCAATGGTTATTATGAATATGCTATTACAGAACGTTTCATCGCCCAAACACTAGAATTAAATGGGTTATATTATAGCTACTATTTTCAAATAGTATTAGTTTCATGGATTACACAGGATTAGCTGGTGTTTCTTCTCGGTTTTTCTCTGTACAATGTCGATACAGTCTGGTCGTCTTCAAACTCTTCAATACTACCTCAACCAGCTCTATCAATGTTAATACACTAGCTCCAATACAGAATCCCATGTAACCTCCAAGATGACTAATAATATCACCAACGTCCAACTCCGGTTCATGTGTGATCTTAGTGACCATCATGTCTTTAAAGGAAATCGTTAAATGTATTTTGTTCTTAACACCATAAACAGGATTAATCCGCTGAGAAGAAAGTTCATATTCATATTTGATTTCCGAACACGGTCTCTTACAGTCACAAAGATCTCTAGGATATTTTACAAGGAAGGCGTGCCAAATTTTTTTAAGGGCAATATTTAAATGGTCCGTACAATTCGTACCAGGATCAAGAGTGCCTACATTACGACAACATACACAAAGGTTTCGGGGAATATCGTTCTCCATACTCTCATGCTAGTTGTGTTATTGGGTGTCTGACTAATCGTACACAATTATTGTGTGTATGTGTTACAGAATTTCTCTTTCATGATAACTCAAGTGTATTTTGTACTGTTGCTGAAAGATCGCAGAACATTGGCGTTTGTTTTGAACATGCACAAAACAAACGCCGTGACTCGGCGATCATTGGCGACCATGGAGATCACAGCACGATATCTGGCGTTTCCATCACACATTTACCACGCTTATAGCGACCTTGGGCGCGCTCTGAGACCATTTCCCGTCGCCGTAGAAGCGCAATTAAGACGACACCCTGGTCGACGGGGTGTATGAGCGATATCGTGGTCTATGTGTGAAGGTGTTTCGTTTTTAGTTTTCTTGGTGGATAAACTCTGTACAAACATCCGCAGATCGAGAAGACGTCGTTGTAATAGCGTCGTGACAGCTTGGCGCGGTCTTCTAGGGCGTGGCGCCAACGTGGTTGAACGTTGTGCGGGCGCGGAGCGAGTCTTGTAAGGACGCGGCGAACGCATTTCACCTCGACTTCTGCGATGTGGGCCCTTTCAATTTGTATATATATTATTTGTTTATTTATTTATTCTACATTGTTGTATTGTCTTGCTATGATTATTGATGAATTTGAATAAAAGTTATTCCCTTATTAGAGTAGAATTTTATTCATTACCATAACAACAGAAATGTGAGTTGGGACTAAGTATCCATAAAGCCATTCCCTTATTAGAATAGATTTTATTATTACCAAAACAACAGAAATATGAGTTGGGTCTAAACTGTATTATCCATGAGGTGCAACGGGATCTGAACGACAAGAGATCGGGTGTACGTAAACCTGAAAGGCGACAGATTGGTGATGGAGGTGCTGGGAGACTACATTTAATTGTGGTACTCTGTTTAATCGGTCTGACAGAAGCAGGACGTCATGGTCAACGGACGTCATGGTGCTGCCTGTGTATGTGTGTATGTGGCTAGGAGGGAGGGGGGAGGCAAAGCCGTATATTATAGATAAAGTTTCGAAAACTGTGAAGCCAGAAATTTCATATGACGTCATGAAAATAAGACGTCAAGTGTATAAAGACGCCATCTTGGGTCCCAAGTACCTACGCATCATCTGTTTATATGCCCTATTATATTGTCGTGTCGAAGTCGGCTGCACCGGGAGGCATGTGAATAGATATGTCATAGATTTCTACGAATAAGTGTCTATAGGAGATAAAACATAAATTTCTTAAAACGAAAAGTATAGCTGAACATACTATTATTATTATACAACAAAAAGCGCACATTATTGTTATATAGCCTAATTCATAGAGAAAATAAAATAAAAGATACACCAGATAAAAGCGCTATTAAATATATATATATACGCTTTTAAAAATCAGATTCATCTCAACAACTCTGAATAGGCTAAATGGAACAATAGAGCAAGTTCACCGTGATGTTGACAAATACGTAAGACTATATGAATTGATATTTTTATATGATTCAACCGAAAGGTGATATATATGTAATATAGATGATTAATATCTACATTCAAGTTAAACCAACTGTATCTATTTATTTTAAGTCTTATAACGTCTAGCTGAATAAAATATATGATTTATTGTCATTAAACATCTATGGGTGGTTAATAGTGTGTACCTAGAATTTTCTAAACCAAGTCTATTGCATCCAGATATTTAAAGCGTGTTAACAATATATTCATTTAAGGAAAACTGCCTACCACGGGTTCATTTCTGTCTGTTATTCATTTCACGAAAGGCTCTTGTGATTGCCACAGTATAGTACAGCTTTTCAGAAGCAAGAGACACTAGGTGATAAAGGGTACGGAAATTAGGGTCCGGGTTCTCTCCTTGATTTTATAAAAAAATGTTTCTGTAATTTGTCCTGATGTTTCTAGCTTACGCACAAGTGTGACAATCCTATCTGAAATTAAGTTTTTAATCCAATATAGAATTCAGTAACCCAAAAAACCTTATTTCAAGCAAAATCAACAAGGACAGGCATCATCATGTTGGTTTCTATTTTGATTGTCGTTTTATATTTACATCATCTGAACCATTCATAATAAGTTTTTAAAAAAATAGAATCCAGACGGAGAGAGAGAGAGAGATAGAAAGAGAGAAAAATAGAGGGGGGGGGGTGGTAACGTCCACTTTTCACAAACTAGGTCATTTCAGTAATTCGCTTGCGCGTAGGGGTCTTTAGCAGTGGGAGGAAAAGGATGACCCGGAGAAAACCCACGAGGTTGGACAAGCGGGGAATCGAAACCACGAAAGTTGACGCGCGCTAACAATTCGGCCATGCACCCCCCCCCCCCCCCCGCAAAGAGTCCTGGTGATCTAGATTTAATCCAACACTGATAAAAGTGACAAAGTGCTCAATAACGTTCATAAAACTTTCTATTTTATAAAATACGAACTGTTTTGTTTAGATGCAGTGAAGGTATTGACCCGCACCTCAAAGTTATGAGTTACGTTTGAATGACGAAGCTGTAAAACAGCTGGTCGTTTCAAAGCCTGGAAATAGATTTCATGTTGATCAGACATAAAGTGAAAAATCACAGGTTTAACAATATTATATATGATATGATCAGTAGAAACAATGAAGGTGATAACATTCACAATACTTTCTGGATTAATAGGGTTAATAATAACCTAACAGAACTATAAAGGGTTAAACTGTAAAACACTTTCAAATATCATAACATAAACAATCAACCATAAACATTGTTACAGTGTATCTTCAATAAATTATTGATCATTTTCATTTTTATTTCTGTGAGTTTTTGTGTAGGTATGGACTCCAATACACTACCTTACCCGTTATTTTAACACTTTCAAATATCATAACATACTTCAATAAATATGTTGAATTTTATCGATCATTTCCATTTTTATTCCCGTGAGTGATTGTGTAGGTAGGGGACCTAGTGTTCTGATTTACCCGTGGGACTATCATGGTGTTCTGATTTACCCGTGGGACTATCGTGTTACTCCTGTGAGTGGTTGTATAGGTAGGGACTCCAGTAAACTGACTTTCCCGTGGGATTATCATGATATTAAGACCGCCCTTGGGGTAGATCTTGTCTTACGGTATATTACATCTCAATGAATTGTTGTATTTCTAATGTGAGCATCTGCGATTGATTCATTGTCGTTCAAACCTTACCACTGTCTAAATGTAATCCTCCAAGAGACTTGAATATATTTCAACCATCAACACACCAACCATATATGGTTGAAATCCACTACTCCACTAACCCCTGGGTTATTCTATGGCGGGGAAGGGGGGCACGTTTTCAAGTTATCTGCCCTTGATGATTGTGCTATTTTCATCGACCCTCCAAAAGACATTAATATATTTCAATAATCAACACACCAACCAAATATGATTGAAATCCACCAAGCACGTTCCGGGGAAAAGGTTGAAAAATAAAAACGTATAAATTTACGAGTTGTGGTGTTTCTTCATTCCCTATTGGACCAATCACTTTCATTAGACTGTCAACGCGACACATCGTCCTCATGTGATTAAAATCCATTAATCGGGCCATGAGTAGAAGTCGAAAATATAAAAGTTGGACTAATAATATACAACAATTATCAGATATACACAAAGGTATTGTATAGCTGAAGATTTATGGAACCTAATAGGACAATATATTATATTTCATAGAAAAAAAACGAACTTGATACGAATTGCTGTTAACAAACCCCCAACTAATTGATACAGTTATTAAAGATTAATGATTCTGAATTGGCTCACCAAAAATCAATCGATATTACTGGTGATGTATATGAGATGTTAGGCTACGTACCACACTGTGACAATTAGACACCGTCTGTCAACTATTTAGGGGGAGTTCCTAAATTGCTTCACAAAAAATCAATCGATTTTACGGGTGATATATAAGAGATATTAGGCTACCACATTGTGACACTTACAGTTCAAAATGGCGGATATTAGACATCGTCTGTCAACTATTTGGGGAGAGTTCCTGAATGAAACCTCACTACACGGATGTAAAAATACATTTGCTAAGCAACACGGACCTTTGAAAAGAACACTGTGGTTTTTATGTTTTGGTTTAATGGTTGGGACTTTGGTGTACACGACTGTTACCTTCTTTCTGGAATATTTGGAATTTAATTTTGTGACCAAGACCAGTATAAGATATCATCCTGAATTAGAATTCCCGGCTGTCACGTTCTGTAACTTATGTATGTTAGACAAGAATAAATTTAATAGATCGGACATCGATAATTTTAATAAATCGGATCCTCTAGTGTTAGAATATTTTGAACTTGTTAAACAATATTCTCCGTACTTTAATATATCTGGTACCAAATGGGAAGGGTTGAGACTAAAAGAGACAGATATATCCAGGGTAGGATTTGCGATTGATGATATACTTATATACGGAGATCTTAATCTACGGTTGTTGTTGCCCGATCAAGACTTTTCTGTCAGTTACAGAGAACATTTGGAAAAATGTTTCACTTTTAACTGGCGATATTCCAATGTGACATATTACAACAAGCCGTTGATGTTCCATGCAACAAGTCAACTGTCTATTGGCCTGGACACTAAACATTACAGGTGTTTTTCTAGGTCTGAATCCTCTGGCTTTCGGTTTTTACTGCACCATCCCAATGAACCATTCCATTTTCATTCTCCATACACTTTACTTGCTTCAGGATATTCTTACACAGTTAAAGTCTCTAAAAAACGCTTTCAATATTTAAGTCATCCGTACAATTCGTACCAGGGTCAAGATTGCCTACAAGAGAAGATACACAAAGGTTTCGGGGAACATCGTTCTCCATACTCTTATGCTAGTTGTGTTATTGGGTGTCTGACTATTCGTACACAATCATTGTGTGGATGTGTTACAGAATTTCTCTTTCATGATAACTCAAGTGTATTTTGTACTGTTGCTAAAAGATATTCTTGTGCATGGAAAATTTGGTACGCCTTCCTCTTCAAATACCCTACAGATCTTTGTGACTGTAAGAGACCGTGTTCGGAAGTCAAATATGAATATGAACTTTCTTCTTGGCGGAATAAATATGTTAAACATCCGAGAAGAAAAATATTTTTATCGATTTTCTTTAAAGACATGATGGTCACTAAAATCACACATGAACCGGAGTTGGACTTCGGTGATATTATTAGTCACCTTGGAGGTTACATGGGATTCTGTATTGGAGCTAGTGTATTAACATTGATAGAGCTGGTTGAGGTAGTATTGAAGAGTTTGAAGACGATCAGACTGTATCGACATTGTACAGAGAAAAACCGAGAAGAAACACCAACTAATCCAGTGTAATCCATGACACTAATACTATTTGAAAATAGTAGCTATAATATAAGCCATTTAATTCTAGTGTTTGGACGATGAAACGTTCTGTAATAGCATATTCATGATAACCATTGCGTGTAATTGTCTAATTATATCCAGTGCTCTCCTATTAATATTAAACATAGGTCTATATACGTGTAATATTGTGACTTCATAGATAATTGTTATATAGTGCGGTCCAGTTAATACTAAAAATAGGCATAATACGTGTAATATAGTGACTTCATAGTTAATTGGTATATATAGTGCTGTCCTGTTAATATTAAACATAGGTCTATATACGTGTAATATCGTGACTTTATGGATAATATTTATATATAGTGCCGTCCTATTAATAGTAATATTGTGACTTGTATAGGCAATTGTTATATATAGTGCGGCCCTATTAATACTAAACATAGGCATATATAAGTGTAATATTGTGACTTTATAGATACTTTTTATATATAGTGCGGCCCTATTTTAATAGGGCCGCATACTAAACATTTCCCTATATAAACATTGTGACTTTCTAGTTAATTGTTATATATAGTGTGATGCTATTAATATTTATCAAAGGTCTATATAATGTAATATTGTGACTTTCTAGTTAATTGTTATATATAGTGCTGTCCTATTAATATTAAACATAGGTCTATATAATGTAATATTATTATTGTGATTTTATAGTTAATTGTTATATATAGTGGCGGTCCCTATTAATACTAAAAATAGCCCTCATAATGTAATATTGTGACTTTATAGGTAATTGTTATATATACATGTAGTGTGGTCCTTTTAACATTAAACATCGCCATATATAATGTAATATTGTGACTTTCTAGTTAATTGTAATATTCAGTGCGGTCCTATTAGTACTAAACATTGCCCTATATAAATGGAGTGTTGTGACTTATATAGGTAATTTTTATATGGAGTGTGGTCTTATTAACATTAAACATAGGTCTATATAAATGTACTAATGTGAACAACACTATTTTAGTTATTTGAATTTGGTGATATTTCAGAAATGCGTGTTTAGCATGACCTGGTTTTCATCAACCATGGTTTATTTATCTTATTACGATGCCTATTTTACATGATTACTATACTAAGAATAAGGTCCCGTTTACACATTGGTGATCTGGCCAAGCTAATTGGCGCGGATCCTAAGCTGCCTCTATGCTCTCCCAGCCATCGGTAAGCCTCCGTCACGCTATTGCCGCTATCACAATGCTCTTGTCAAACGGTTAATGCTGCATGTACGAGTGATACTAATTTTTATTTCTTTTTCAAATTTTATTGAAAGACCGCATAATTTATTTGTTAACTCTATATTCACATATACAGACAATAAGGCTGGCATTAAGATTGTCAGCCTGTCTGTCATTACATTAATATTTTAATATTTTGATTTGAAGTCTATAAAGTGGTTGCCTTAAGCCAGAATGGTCTTGACTGTGTTATAATCTTTGGGTGCTAATAGGTTTATTTAAGAGACATGTTGAGCAAAGGTTATAGAATTAACAATACAATCAGACCAATCAGACAATACTTTATTTATGGTTAAAAGCTTTTACTCTGTGGATAAATATTTTACTTTATGGTTAGGATATTTTACATTTATACATAAAAGCTTTTACTTTATTTATGGTTAAAAGCTTTTACTCTGTGGATAAATATTTTACTTTATTTATGGTTAGGATATTTTACATTTATGGTTAAAAGGTTTTTACTTTATTTATGGTTAGGATATTTTACATTTATACATTTATGGTTAAAAGCTTTTACTTTATTTATGGTTAAAAGCTTTTACTTTATGGTTAAAGATGTCTAATTTATTTAAGGGGGGTTGGGTGGCTGAATGGTGTATCATAAGCCCTGTCATTGAGTCAATTGGCGTGGTTTCAAATCCCCAGTTGTACGTGACAGGGAGTAGAGTTGCCTATCCAACCTCGTGGGTTTTCTAGTTTATAACCTAGTTTATGTCGAGTGGACGTTAAACCCCATTTATGGTTAAAAGCTTTTTAACTGATTCTATTAATTATAATTTACTAGGAAACTTTAACCAATGAAATTAATATATTAATGTAAATCTTTCCATTTGATTTGTTACCATATCTATTATCCCAAATTTTATCTTTAATCTGATTTGTCGAAATGATTGTTCTTTTATCTGTAAGTGAATTAGTTTCTGTATATAATGTATGTTCAATTATATATAACGTAATATGGAAACGGATTTGGGTTTGGACTTTTGAAAAACAGCGACTCTCTAGAATACTACCCATGTGTATGAAATATTACATGTGTATCACCTGGATGCTTATACCGCTCTCCAAGTTCCCACCTCAACCCCACCACACTCTTACTGCGCTTACAAAGATCTAGCCACGTCCCTACCACAATACCACCACATCCATGCCGTTTTCGGCAATATCGTGGTCTATGTGTGAAGATGTTTTGTTTTTAGCTTTCTTGGTGGACGTGACTCATTTCATCTCCTCTATACCAAACATCCACAGGTCGAGGAGGAGTCTTTGTAATAGCGTCGTGACAGCGGGGCGCGGTCTTCTAGGGCATGGTGCCAACGTGGTTGGACGTCGTGCGTGCGCGGAGCGAGTCTTGTAAGGACGCAGCGAACGCATTTCACCGTGACCTCTGCACACTCTAGAGAATTTTTGCGCGTAATTTATGCTATGCATGACGCCAAGATGTGCGTCCTTTTAATTTGTATATATATATTATTTGTTTACTTATTTTTTTTACATTGTTATAATTATTGATGAATTTGAATAAAAGTCATTCCCTTATTAGAGTAGATTTTAACAACCATACCAACAGAAATATGAGTTGGGTCTTAACTGTAGTATCCTTAAGATGCAACTGGATCGGAAAGACAAGAGATGGGGTGGTAAACCTGAAAGGCGACAGGTGGGTGATGGAGGTGCTGGGAGACTACATTTGATTGTGGATCTTTATGTAATCGGTTTGACAGAAGCAGGAATCTAACAAATCAACAGACGTCATATGGTTGTATGTGGGATTAGAAGGGAGGGAGGAGGTAGTGGGGCTAGTAGCTTATAGGTTAATATGCCGACATGGTTAAACGAGTACTAATTAGACGATGATTCTAATTACATCAATCTTAATTAATTAACTATTGATGTTTGGTTGACCTTTAAACCCTGGATGTCAAGACATGATAGAGAGAGGGAGAGAGAGAGAGAGAGAGATTAACGTCCACTCAACATAAACTAGGTCATTTTGGGACTAACATATTGTTCAATGTAATTTCATTTGTGCGTAGGGATCTTTAGCAATGGGAGGCGGCCATGGAGACCACAGCACGATATCTGGCATTTCCACTACGCTTATAGCGATCTTGACGCGTTCTGAGACCATTTTCAGTCGACGTAGCAGCGCAATTAAGACCCAAAAAATTACAAACTTGGAAAAAATCGCGCTCTTGCAGCTTTCCAGGTCAGATCGCAGAACCTTGGCGTTTGTTTTGAACATGGCGGCCATGGAGACCACAGCACGATATCTGTCATTTCCACTACGCTTATAGCGATCTTGACACGTTCTGAGACCATTTTCAGTCGCCGTAGCAGCGCAATTAAGACGACACCCTGGTCTGACGGGGGTATTAGCGATATCGTGGTATGTGTTTTTAGTTTTCTTGGTGGATGAGACTCAGTACACCTCCTATATACCAAACATCCGCAGATCGAGGAGACGTCGTTGTAATAGCGTCGTGACAGCTTGGCGCGACCTTCTAGGGCGTGGTGCCAAAGTGGTTGAACGTCGTGCGGGCGCTGAGCCAGTGTGGTAAGGACGCAACAAACGCATTTTACCACGACCTCTACAAACTCTATAGAATTTTTGCGCGTAGTGAGGTCTTTGTTATGTATGACGCCACCCCCAACAACGATGTGCGCCCTTTCAATTTGTATATATATTATTTGTTTATTTATTTATTCTATATTGTTGTATTGTCTTGCTATGATTATTGATGAATTAGAATAAAAATTACTCCCTTATTAGAGTAGAATTTATTATTTACCATGACAACATATATATGAGTTGAGTCTAAACTGTATTATCCCAAAAAATTATTCCCTTTTTAGGGTAGATTTTATAGTGCTATCTGTGTGTGGAGGGGGGGGGGATAGAGGGGTTTATAGGTTAATATGCCGCCATAGTTAAACGAGTACTAATTAGACGATGATTCTAATTACAACAATCTTAATTAATTAACTATTGATGTTTGGTTGACCTTTGAACCCTGGATGTCAGGACATGAGAGAAAGAGAGAGAGAGAGATTAACGTCCACTCAACATAAACTAGGCCATTTTGGGACTAACATATTGTTCAATGTTATTTCATTTGTGCGTAGGGATCTTTAGCAGTGGGAGGAAACCGGAGGACCGGGAGAAAACCTATGAGGTTGGACAGGCGACTCTACTCCTTGTCATGTACAACCATGGAATGCAAATCACGCCAGTTGACTCAATGACAGACCTTATGATACAACGCGCACGCATTAACCAGTCGCCAATCCAATCCACCTTCAAAGTCTCGAACTTGAATTCATGTTGATCAGACATAAAGTGAAAAGTTTACTGCCATTAATGATTGTGCTATTTTTGATGGACCCGTGGGCGGATCCAGAAATTTTTGCAGGAGGGGTTTTGCCAGGTTCCTGAGACAATGTATCCCCCTCCCGCATGGTCTATATCGTCATTTTGGCGTATATACATACACATTGAGCTTTTTAAACAGAGAAATTCAACACCTCGTTTGACGTCGATTTTTATTATGAATTTATACAATAGGGTCAATTCAAGTCCCGAGTTACGTCTGTGTTAAGGTTGTGTTCTAGTGGTGTATAACTGGTGTTCTTTTTAGTTCCTTAACCTGATCCCTCGATTTAGCACTAGTGTTTACTCCAGTGTCTAAACTAGTTTAATACCAGTGTTAACAC